GAAACATAGGAACTTCCATATGAGGTGGGACAAAACTATGGTCAACCAATGAGGTTAAAAGCACAACTGCTAAAGGAGAATTGATTAAATCGGGATCACATGGGGAAGCGAGTCAAGTAGCAAGCGGACAGAATACAGAACAGTAGCTTATCTTGTAGAGGTTGAATTAGTGACTCTTCCTGGCTTCCTCAAGGTGATGATCAATCCCAGATGCTTCTCTTTAGGGAGGGCAGCATTTGTTTGTTGGTCTTAGGTCTGCCCCACAGCCCTACAAATGTGTGTCTCTCTGACAGTTGCAAAGTATCTTGTCTTTGATGCTGTATCCTTTGAGGGTCTAGCCCTGTCTCACTGCATATATAATACTTCTATCTAATTCAGCTGCCTACTACAACTAAGCTGCCCAGGCTATGCTCAGACTTGGAATCCTCCTGCCTTGACTTCTCAGAGTGTTGGGATTATACTCATGTACCACCACACTTAGATCCTGTTTTTGACCGTGTTCTTAAGAGCAGGTCTCTGAGCCACATTGCTTACTCTTTGCTAAACAAATGAAATTCCCTTTTCATGCAGTAGGGAGGGTAGGAAATGGTACCTGCAGACCGTGGTAGAGTGGCGTGCAGTGGGATGTGGGTTTTAGGTTTGTCTGCTGTGCTGTAGGTGACTCCCTGCTGTGGCTGGGACTTCTGTGCCAGTGTATCTGGAGAGTGGTGACATCAGGGAACTTCCACATTGCAGCTGGACTCCAGTCCCACCCTACCTTAGGGCAGATGGCCTTTTGAAGGACTTTGATGTGTTACATAAATACTCGATGTTTTTAATTCCCAGATCATTACCAAGTCTATGCAACTTTTTTTTTTCAGGAAAGGGCTTATTCCACCAAGCCATCTCCGCAGCTCCTTTTTTTTTTTTTTTTTTTTTTGCAGAACTGGAGATTGAACTCAGTCCCTTGCACTTGCCAGGGAAGGATTTTTCTTTTTTGGTTGGGGGGGGGGGGTGCAGGATGCCTTCAGGGCAGGTCTGGTTTGGCTTGAGGATGAGGGGATCGAACCACAGCATCCTGAGCCTGACTGCTTTGTTTCAGCAGGCACTTAAATACCTGAGCTAATGGGCAGGCCTCCTTTTTTTCAAATAAGTTTTCCAAATATTGTTCTTTCACATTTCTGTTATGTTTATGAGTTTTCTAAAATCAGCGGGGTTCACTGAGTGATAATGAGAAGATAAATATAAATTGTATAAATTATGTCAGAGGGGGTTTACAAGGAATGGAACTCAGGCCCTCACACTTGTCAGGCATGAGTTGTATGCCTTAAGTCTTCCCTGGGAAACCACTCCAAGATAAACTTACTGCCTTTGGGCTAAATTTGTCTGTGGTTATTAGAGAAAGCAGATAGGTATAATAGCTAAGTGTTATCAAGGTATCTGATGGAGTCTATCCTGATGCAGTTTTGTTCTGGATTGGTTTGGTTTAGTTTTTGTTTCTTACACTACTGAGGATTGAACCCAAAACCTTTGTCCTGAACTATAGCCTCGGCCCTTTTTTATTTTTTTATTTTGAGACAGGGTCTCACTGAGTTGCTTGAGCTAAGCCAGAACTTGGAATCCTTCTGCCTCAGCCTCCCAAAATTTTGGGCTTACAGACATGTGCCACCACAGCTACCTGTCCTGATATTGAAGATGAAACTCTGTGCCCACCGTGGTGCCTTTAGAAGCACTCCTAACTAGAGAATGTGGAGCGCAGCGAGTGGGAGTCAGGCCAGCAGGGTGCCACCTGGACAGCTGCCCCCCTTCTGCAGGATGCTGACTGCGTCCTGTGCAGAGTTGTGTCCTCTCTAGTCAGCTGCACATTACCCCCAGTTGTACCTTCTTCTCCCTCTCCATCCTTAGTCCATTTTCTGCTGTTAGAATACCATCAGCCAGGCAGTGATCAGCTGTCTAAGTCTGTTCAGTTTACAGTGGTAGAGGCTAAGAATCCAAAGCCAAGGAAAGGGCCATGTCCACAGGGCTTCGGTGCCACAGCCTGGCGGGAGGGCGAGGGGCGTGCGTGAGATGGAGGGTGGGCAGGAGGAGGTCGGAGGCACAGCACATGCACTCACAGTAATGGACCTCATCAGCATTGATGTGTTCTGGCACTCGTGGCCTAATGTCCTCTTAAAATCTAACCTTTTGGGGCAGGGTGGGGGTGGAGGAGATTACATCCAGGCCCTCATGCATGCTAGGTCACGGCTCTGCTCCTAAACTGCATCTCCAGCCCGGTTTCATCTTCATCTTTCTCATTTTGAGACATTTTTCCAAGTGCTGCCAGGCTGGCCTTGAGCCCACAGCCCTCCCAGGTATTGGCTCTCCGGTAGCACCTCTGCACCTAGCCGCCTTGTACTGCCCTTACAGCAGCAGTTATATTTCAGCACGAGGTTCTGGCCTGTTCAAACCAGGGCACCATCTTTAGGCCCTTCGTGCTTTTCTCCTGGACTACTCCAGTGCTGTAATCTTGTAACCGTCCCCATGCTGTGACTTTGCTGCCCTCCGGCGCCTTCCCTCACCTGGAGAACAGTCTGCTCCTCCACACAGCCTGGGAGGAGCCCTGGGTCTCGGCCACCCCGCTCCTCCAGCCTCCTGTCCTGCTCCCCGTCCACTCCTTTCCATGTCTTTGAGCCTTGCAGAGCCAGCTCCTCTGATTTGTGGTCCCTCATACCTGTCCTCCCCACTGAGACAAGCTTGTTGTCAGAGTGAATTCCTGTATTGGAATTGTTCACACATTTCTCAGCTCACAGTATAAACTCCAGGAGGGCAGACATCTCCATTTACTTAGCACCTGTCACGTGAGGATTGAACCCAGACCATCTGACCGTGCTACGTCCCCGGCCCTTTTTTGTACTTTTTATTTTGAGACAGGATCTCATTAAATTGTTAACTTTGCCCAAGCTGGGTTTGAACTTGCGGTCCTCATGCCATATCCTCCCTGAGCGCTGGTGTCAAGGCATGCGCCACCACACCCCATGGCAATATTGTTCTTTTTTTTTCTTCTGTATTTTAGGGAAGCATCTACAGGATGTTCAGGGTCTCACTCGTAGTGATCCACCTGTTTACAGCCTCCCAAGTGCTGGGATTACAGGCTCGCACCACCACACCCAGTCTTAATCGCCAACTCAGCACACCCCAGGGGTGGTGCCGGCACGGCAGGCCCAGGGATCAAATCCCCAGCCCCTGCACCTGCTTGCAGGTGCTTTAATCTGCTGCGCTATTTGGCTGGCCCAATATCGTTCTTTGATCAGAGCTGAGACTCCAAAAAGATCTGAGCAACTGAAAAGGCAAACCATAAAACTTAACGGGGAGATAAAGTTTAACAAGGATATACTTGGGCTTAAAACCACCAAAGAAAACAAGTCTCGATTGAAGTACTGAGTACAAGGTAGGAGACAGGTGACTCAGCCCCTCAGTAGAGTGTGTAAATAGCAGGGGTGTGGCTCCCGCTGAATTCGTGCAGCATGTGAGTCAACAGCATGACCCATCACCTTGTGTCCAGAGCGGGAAAGTTAGTAGTCCTGCTGGCCAGACCATGCCGGGGTCACGATCCCTTCTGGGCCGTACTTTAACCCATTTCTTGGGTAGACAAAGGGCAGCTCGCCGCCTGCTTGCATGTAATTTTACATAAACATGCTCTTTGAGGCTGAAGTAAGTCTCACTGGTTTTTCAGTGTAAAAATAAAATATACCCACAACTCAAGCCAGCCAAACCTGCCCTGAAGGCATTCGGAGCCAAAAAATAAAATATAAAAACTTCCTAGAAAGTTGGGTGTGGTTGTACTCACCTATAATTCCAGCATTCAGGAGGCTGAAGCAGGAGATTTGCTAAAAATTGAAGACCAGGAGGGCCAGGGAGATAGCTCAGTAAAATAAGCGCTTGCCTGGCAAGCACAAGGGCCAGAGTTCAATCCCTGGTTCTGCAAAAAAAGTAAATTAATTAATTTAATTAAATAAATAAAGAATTAAAGACCAGCCTGGGCTACATAAATTCAAGGCCAGCCTGAACTATATGCAAGACTCAAAAAACAAACAAAACCCCTTGCTGGAGTTATTTCTAAACAGAAATCCTCTTATAACATAAATTATATGTGGTGTTCTATATTTAATAATTTATTTCGTGTGTTTAATTGCAAAGCATGGAATACTGATGGAGAATTAAAAATGGAAGTACCACTCCCTAAAACAAAACACTATCAATAGAATAGTGTCTTTTGTTTCCGAAGACTGTTGATCTATTAGAGCCATGCAAAAATAGTAATAAAAGTGAGCTATTTTGTGGAAAACTTTGGGGGTAAAGTTGGGGTTGGAATCTGCACATTATGGTAGGGTAAACGCTGCTGTTTCAGGTGCTGCCTGTAAGTGGTGTATTCTCAAGGCAAATGGGAAGCAGAGATAAGGTTTGTGTGTCCAAGAGAATGCCGTTGGGGTAGTGAGAGAAGCTGAGCCCCCTCATCTGGGGGAGGAAGTAGGGAAGGTTCACTCAGAGAAGCCAGGGTGCACTGTCGGTGTCATCAGAGGCCAGGGAGATGTCACCAGCAGCCTCAGAATGCAGAACGAGGCCCATAAATGGGAACTCCAGAGAGAAGTAGGACAGTCAGACGTCCTACAGTAGCATGAGCTCCAGATTGGTGTGCTATAGAGGGGCCTGAGCCCCCAAGGAAGCTTGGGCTTCTTTCTGGTCCCTTTTGGGGCTTGGCAATTCAGGTCATGTGTCCGAGTGCCAAGGAGCGGCACCAGAGCACACTTCCTGATGATAATTCCTCCATCCCTCTGATGGGCTGTCTGAGTTACTGACACAGATGTTGCTTCTGTAAACAGGAGAATCATTGTAAGTCTGACCTAGTAATGAGACCCTGAACACCCTGTAGACCCTTCCCTAAAATACAGAAAAATAAATAAATAAATAAAAGAAAGACAGCTGATGGTTGTGCACCATTGAATAAAGTATTTACTTCTTCTCTTTGCTGTTTTGCTTTCTAGTTCTGGAGAAACTCGGCTTCTGGGAGGAAGTTGCAGAGATTGTCTCAGGATCAGAGCTGATAACAGGACTTCCCCATACCTTTAAGGTGCCGGGCCTGCCCCAGTACCTCCAGAGCCTCACCAAACTAGCCATCGCTGCAGAGAGGGCAGCGCTGACCAGGGCCGGAGAGCAGACGAGGCATGCGCCAGTCACCTTGGCGCAGCTGCTGAGCTCTCCCTTTCCCGAAGTGCGCTTGCTCGCCCTAGAAGCCCTGTTGGAAAGGCTCAGAGCAGGAGCCCCTGGATCACTGAGCAGCATGGGCGAGGATCTTCTGCTGCTGGCCATGCAGGAAAGCCACCCGGAGTGTCTCTGCAAGGTAGAGCCTGCTGGCCTGCTGGTCCCCTTCCACTCCTGGTGTCAGGAAGGCAAGACCAGGGTTGGGCTCTGGATGCAACAGACTAGGCCTCTGAAGGGTAAAGATGTTCTTTGTATGGTTCCTGGCCTGGCTTCACGCATAGAAGGGCAGGGGCACTAAGAGGAGAGGAGCTGTTAGCCGGGCTTGGTGGCATCCACCTATAATCCCAGCATTGGGGAGGCTGAGGCAGGAGGATCGCTGCAAGTTCAAGGCCAGTCTGGGCTACAGAGTAAGTTCAAGGCCAGCCTAAACTGGAGTGAGACCATGTTGATAATGACAGCATTGATAGGAGAGTTGACCCAAAGTCAGAGCTAGCCATCCTTGAGATGTTTCAGAAACAGATCTGTTAAACATCAGCTACAGGGGTATCACAGGTTCTTTGTGATGTGCCTGTCTAGGGGCAGATGTCACCTAGGAAGCGTAATCAAAAGGAAGGAGTGCTGGCCCAGCAATCTGAGCGTCTAACTCCAGTCAGAGATCATGCAGTGCCTTCACATTGGTCATTGTTGTGCCCTGCCTCAGTCTGTTAGAGATATTATAGTCCACAGGAGCCTTTGGAAAGATATAGCCCCTTATCAGTACAAATGGTTGTTACCTGGAGGCTTCTCCCTACATATTCATGCACTCTGTGTTTCTGTCTCTCTTCTCTCTTTTTCCCTCACCCACTCTGGATTTGTCTCACCCAGATACTGAAGGTTCTACACAGCATGGACTCCAATGAATGGCTTCCGCTCACAGAGCGCTGCACCCATCTCACTCCCAATGAGTTTTTGACCTGGACAATGGATATTGCTGCCAATGACAGGTTTGTCCGTGCTCCCTGTGCAGCCTAGGTGGGACGCAGACGCATCTGTCCTGTGCTGTGAACCTGCTCACTGTCCTGGCCATGGAGCTCAGCTCCTGTGTTACTCTCTAAGTCTCAGTGTAGGAGCTAGCTGTGTCATAAAGTCAAGTAGTACAGTGATGTCAGGCCTTCACGTTGGTGACCAAAAGGTGGTTGTTTCTGGAGGCACGTGAGGAGTCACGATGGGGCCGTGTCCAGAGCATCTTTGTATAAAGTATGTCCAATTTAATTTTGGATCTTAGTTACTTTTCTCATTGCTGAGACAAAATACCCAATACTCGAAGTTGAAAGCAGAAAGATTTATGTGGCTCACAGTTTGTAGAGTTTTCAGTCAATAATAGACAAATAGTTCATGGCAGGCAGAAGGCAGCAAGAGCTGCGAGTGGCCAGCAGTGATGGCAGCCCTTTTTTGGTCCCTTATATTCCATCCAGGCTACGCACCTTTAGGGGCAGCACTCACACCCAGCGAGAGCTTTCCATTATCCACATCCAGAACTATGTCAAACCAATCAGTAGACTGGTTGAGTAATCACACACCCTTGATCCCAGCACCACACAGTCTGGACCCTGCCACCTCTGAAAAGCCTCACCGATGACTGCATAAGGCTGTGCGCGGACATCTAGACACAAGCTGTAATGGATTTTAAATCCCTTTTTTCCCCAGATCTGAAATCCAGGGTGTGGCTCTGAGACTCACCTCCAAACTGATTGCCCACCACATGGAAACACATGAGGTAAGACTGAACTGTGCCTGTCCTGGAGCCTGGCTTTTGGACTCCATTTACCCAGACGGTGTCAATAAAAGTCAGCCATTACCTGGCTAAGGTCATCCACTCCTGTAATTTGACCTACTCAGGAGGCTGAGGCAAGAAGACCATAAATTCAAGACCCACTTAGACAATTCAAAGTTTAAAAATAATGGAAGGCTGAGGATGTTGCTCCCTGTAGGGAAGCCTTGGGTTTGATGCCCCATGCTGCAAAAACAACAAAAAGGCAAATGTCCTAAGCGGGCAAAATCGTTGTGACCTGTGGTGTCACCTGTGTAAGAATATCATTCAGGCATGATAACCCATGCCTGTGATCCCAGCACTTAGGAGGCTGAAGCTGGAGGATCTCCACAAAATCAAAAGGCCAGTCTGGGCTACATAGTGAGACCCAGTCTCAAAATAGAGAAAACAAAAAAGATCATTCCTGTTGATGTCCCACTGTTAGAATAACCTTTTGAATCACCTCCTTGCTTTTCTCCTGTTCTAGGAAGTTTTGGTTAGAGTCCAAGAGGGTACCATGACCTCTCCCTGACACACAGCCATTGTTCTTTCATAGTTTTTATAGCTAGACTCTATTTAAAGAAGCATAAGCAAGTCAATTGTGGGAATATTCAGAATTGTAACCTAGCAAACTAAGTGTGAAAATCAGTGGCCCAGACTTAAATATCCCCCAGAGTATGACCCAGGTGGCTCTTGGTGAAGTCCCAGGGGCACCCACCTATCCCCCTTGTCCTTTGGGGCAGAGTGGAACTGCAGTAAGCAGATCGACTTGGCAAGGTGCTGGGAGGCAGATGCAGGCGCTCTGAGAAGCACACAGGAAAGGCTTGCTACACTTACAGAGCAGTAAGCAGAAAGTGGCCGGTACTGCCAGAAGTTACACATTCAAGGTTTTCTTGCTTTTGTTTCTGTTTTGTTTTGTTTGTTCATTCTTTGCAGTATCTGGCATGGCAGATGTGCACACTATGCCTGGCTACATGGAAAGATCTCGAATGATTATTCATTCCACACTGTGAAAGTGCTAACATAATGTGGGGGATTCAGAGTTCTTATACCAGGGATGAACAGAGAGAGAGATCCAACCTCAGGAGAGAAAGACTATCAGATCGTTACATTGAGTTTTCTACTGAGGATAAGGGAGCTGAGGAGGAGGAAGCATCTTAGAGCTGAGAAAAATGTATCTTTATGTGTGGTGCTGGGGACTGAATCCAGGACTGAGCCACATCTCCATCTCTTTATTTTTAGAGTCTTGCTAAATCACTATGTTGCTAGCTGGGCTTGAATTTGTAGTCCTTCTGCCTCAGTAAGACCTCAGTGTGACTGTGTCTCAAAAAGAAACAGTTTTGGGGGGCCGGGGTGATGGTTCAATGGAGTAAGCACTTCCCTGGCAAGCGCAAGGGCCCGAGTTCAATCCCCGGTTCTGCCAAAAAAAAAAGAAAAAAGAAAGAAAGAAACAGTTTATGGTGAGGTGTGATAGTACACGCCTATAACTCGAGCATTTGGGAGGCTGAAGCAGGTGGATGAGGCAGGTGGATCACCATGAATTCAAGGCCAGCCTAGACCACATAGGAATGCCTTGTCTCAAAAAAGTAAAAGCATAGGCTGGAAGAGATAGCTCAGTGGCATAAGCGCCTGCCTGGCCGGCACCAAAAAAAAAAAAAAAAAAAAGGTAAAAACAAAACCTAAAAAAGTAAAAACTTTAAAAAAGAGTAGAAGTAAAACCCATTATGATCCTCAACACCAAAAAAAAAGACACTGCTTAGTACTTGAATGAAGTCTTATTTAATGAGAATTCAAGGAGTTTTCTGGAGAGTGAAAAAATGACAAAGCTGTAGAGAAACACGGGAGTTAGCATCTGTCTGGTGCTCAGCTGGGTTGTTACAGGTGGTCAGTGGGGTCAGCACCTCCTGAAGAGGTTCACTAGGTGGAGGAAAGGGGTTGGCATATTGTCTTGTGCCTGAGACTGGGTAGTTAAAAAAAAGATGCATTTTTCACAGCTCTGGGGGCTTTCGAGACCAAAGCACACACCAGCATCAGTAGGGCCTGCTTGCCGCTGTGGAGCGTCATGTAGCAAGAGAGCCCGGGAAAGGGAAGGAGAGACAGACCCAAGGAGACGGCGCTGGCTCTGCCCGCACAGCCACTCCTGCCATGAGTAAGTCCTCTAGAGAGCATGGCGCTCATCCATTCAGGTCACGAGGCACTCCGCCCTTATGACCTAATCATTCTCAAAGGTCTCCTCTCCCACATAACAGTGTCACAGCAGCAAATAGATTCCAACATGACTTCAGGAGAGAGAGAAAACAAACGATAACAGGACGGAAAGTACATCTGAAACAAAAATCCCCTTTTTAGAAAAAGTGGGGGAAAAATAGTATAGAACATGAAAACAATCCATGTCAGTCAATCTAGAGTAGAATATTATTTAGCCATAAAATGTTGTGTGGTCCCAACTCATCCTACAGCATGAATGAACCTTGAAAACCTTAATCTCAGTTAAAGTAGCCAGTCACAAAAGAATACACAGCATACAATCCCACTTACATTAAATGTCCAAGCCCAGCAATCCATAGTTATAGAAAGGAGGCTAGTGGTTATTTAGGGCTGAAGGAATGAAAAATTGAGTAATAGCTAAGTGGGTATAGGGTTTCTCTTTATGGTGATGAGAATGTTCTAAAATTATCTATTAGAGATGTTGGTAACATTAACTTGAACACTACCTAATATGTGCTTATATTAAAATAATACACATGCCCCATAAATATGAACAATTTTCATGCATCAATTAAAAATATCTTTAAATGTTTTTTAAAATTAGGCTTGCGGATATAGCTTAGAGGTAGAAAGCTTGCCTAAGATGTGCAAGGCCCTGGGTTTGATTCATAACACTGAAAAGAAAAACAAGTAAATTGTCCCTTAGAGGACAGGAAAACTTTTTCTAAATGAAATTATTTTTTTAAATTTTTCAAACAGGGGCTGGGGAGATGTCTCAGTGGAAAAGCACTTCCCTGGCAAGCGCAAGGGCCTGAGTTCAATCCCCGGTTCCGTAAAAAAAAAAAAAAAAAAAATTTCAAACAGTAAGCCAAACCAGCTTCTCTTTGTTAAAATAACTATGTGTATGTTTCTGTACTCGTGGTATTCTTAAGTTAGTCATGTTAAAGTCAAATTCTAGTATATGTGATGTGAGGAATAATATTGCTCTAGATAAGTTGTGGAAAATCCTATAATTTAGTGTAGATAGCAGAAGGTGGAGCAGCGGAATAATCAAAGTGTTTGTGTTTATGTGAAATACTAAATTCAGGGAAAGAAAAATAAAATTCACCCATTTTTAAGTTATGATCTGTGATAGTTAGTGCTTTTATCTGCAACATGAATTTTCTTTGTAGCTTAGACAAGTCAAGATTAGAAAATCCCTACTTGTCATAATAAATTACTTACTGAAGTTTAGTCATTGTCTGAATGGAACAAATTAAAATAATTTCATCTCCAATTTTCAAGTCCCATTAACTATCATTCTGCTACCCAACAATAATACACTTGGATCAATATTTTTAATGTGAAAGGACATCACAAAAAACAGAGTATTAGAAAAACAAGTAAATTATTTCCAAAAACACTTGAATGAAAAATCATCTAAAACAAAGCAAACTTAAAAAATAAATAAAAAGCACAATAGATTAATGAATTGAATGATTTCTTCTAATGGTGTTTGTAAATAGGATCTCAAGTCCGCATCTTGTACAGCAATTAACCACTAAGAAGAATGTATGCAGTGTGTTAATTATTGAAACTGTCCTAGCGATTTGATTTGAAGCTGTCTCATTGCTATTTGTTTATCAATAAAATTATGAAAAAAAAAGCACAATAGAAAATAATAATAATAGGGGCCAGGGAGATGGCTCAGTAGAATAAGCACTTGCCTGGCAAACGTAAGGGCTTGAGTTCAATCCCTGTTTCCGCAAAAAAAAAAAAAAGAAAATAATAATAATAGATTTGTGATGATCATTGCATAGACCAAAATCCAGTTACTTTTCCACTTTAAGTGGGTGAATTATGTGGTGTGTGAATGACGTTTCAATACAACTGTTACTGTTAAAAAACAAAACGGGTGTTTCAGCCTTGTTAGGATACTGTTTTCAGGTGTGGAAGCAAACTCAGGCATTCTGTGGCTTGAACCAGATAGACGGAAACTGTCCAACACAGACGCAGCGGCTTGCCCTTTCCGACCCAGGCCTTCTTGCAGTCTTTGACATGTGACCTCCACTGCTTATCTCAGCACTGCTCAGCGAGCGTGCACGGGAGCCCAGGAGCAGGGGTCTGGGGCGTTTCCTAGGTGCATCTCAGTGACAGCCCAGGAGAAAGCATTCACATGTTGCTACCCAGTGTGAGGGAGGCTGGGAAGTGTAGTCCTTAACTAGGTACCCACAGACCCTGCCAAAATCAGGGCTTCTATTACTAAAGATACCAAGAATATCTGGTTATCGTGGACAAGTTATTGGTTGCCACAGTCTTCCCCACAAGCCCAGTCTTTACTGAGGCTGTCAAAAAAATGTAGTGGTAGCATATGGTGAATGTTTACATTTTAAGAGTTTACTATGGACCATCAGTTCATCTCAATACCTGCTCACACACACTTAAAACATACCTGACCTGTCATTCTTGCCGCTTTCTGGAGCAATTCTCGAAGTCTACTTTTGGGGCTGTCTACAAGGTGTAATCAAAAGCATAGTGAACACTGCTGCCAGGTGCCATCCAGCAGAAAAGCAGCCCTACAGAAATGCTAGAGTGAGTCCTCACCCACCATATTCCCCAGACCTGGCACTGTGTAAACTTCTGGGTTTTCCCATGGTCATGAAAGGTAAAGATTTGAATGGACTCAGGACATCGAGACAGGACAACTAAAGACACTTCAGAAAGTGACAGGAGGGGCTAGGGAGATAGTTTGCTGGTCTAAGCGCCTGCCTGGCAAGCACAAGGACCTGGGTTCAATCCCTGGTACCACATGCCATGCTGGCTGCCTCCATGCCGAGCCAGCCACCAAGACCAGATGTAGTGACACATGTCTGTAAACCCAGAGGTGGGGAGGCTGAGACAGGAAGATCACTACAAGTCTGAGCTGCATGGCAAGACTCTGTAAAGAAGGTGGCAAGAACAATGGAATATTCAAAGTAAAGGGGAGTATTTTAAAGGGAATTAATAGCAATGTGTCTTTAATAATTTTTTTTTTTTTTTTGCATTTTTTAGACTGGGTCTCACTACGTAGATTGGACTCGTAGTGATCCGCCTATGTTCAGCCTCCCAAAGAGCTGGGATTACAGGCATGTGCCACCATGCCCAGAATCAATCGCATCTCAGCGCATCCCGGGTGGGGCCAGTGTGGCATGCCGGGGATCGAACCCCAGCCACTGTGTCTGCCTAAGCAGGCACTTTAATCTGCTGAGCTATTTGGCCAGCCCAATAATTTTTTTAAACACTGACCATATTTTTCAGTCATTCCTATACACTAGGGTTGTGATAACCCAATATGCACAGAAAAAACTCAAGGAAGTCGCTCATTAGAGACTCTGTATTTCCAAAAAAGAAAAGGTCAGATTTTCCTCAGGGGACTTGTTTATTTCACCTAGTTGGGATAGAAAAGCAACTAAGAACCTTCTTCCCACCAAGGTAAAGCTGATTTGCAGGCACAGCTTGGTGTACCTCTTTCCTTCTCTCAGCCCCTGATTACATCTCGGGTCTGTGCTTTCAGATCTGGGACTCGCTAGCCCCCCAGCTGAAGCGGTGGGTGCAGCTGGTCATCTTGTCCTGCGGAGACTGTCTTCCCACGGAGTCTAGGCTGACCGCTGCTGAGATCCTCACCAGCACTGCACCACTGGTCCTCACCAACCCCTGTCCAGTTCTCGGTAAGTGGGATGAGGGCAGAGCACATTGTACCAAACTCCAACAGCATGAATAGATACTCTTGACCAGTGGTGGTGAGCCTGTGGCATGCCTGCCTGCTGCACGAAGGTGTTTGTTATGACTGAGTGCTCTAAGAGGTTCGCCAGCATTGCTCTAGACTGAGGAAAGGTAACAGCTAGTAGCATGCACCGTGCCTTCACCTCTTCCAAGTAGAGTCCTGCCTTCGTTCAGACCCTTATTTCTCACCAGCAGTCTGTTAGCCTCTTTTGCTCTTAGCCAAATAGCCTCTGAGGTCTTTCTGAAGTGAAATACTGTCATGTCGGCCCATGCTGAAAACATGAGGAGGTTCCCTTTGCCTTCTGGATAGAATCCAAACTCCCTTGTACTCCGCTCCAGGCCCTTCCTGGTTCCTCCTGGCCACCCTCCCACCCGTCATCCACCACTCCCAGCACCAACTGATGTGTCATCAGGAGGGAACAGTTCTCTATAAACAAACCACTGCTTCCCTGAGTCTTTCAAGACTCAGCCCATCTGTCCCCTCTTCCAGGAAGCCTGTTGCACTAATCTAGGTGAGAAATAAACAGGTCAGTGTGAATCTGTGGCAGGAAGAGTGCCCTCTCCCGCCATGTTCAATCCCATACTGTGGTACCCTGCTTCTTCTCCCATCTGTTAATGGACTTCAGCTGCTGCTTTACCTTTCTATGCACAGCCCTCAAAAATAAGACATGATCCTGGCTCCAAGGAGTATTCAGCAGAGTTATGGAAAAAAGTTCCTATGATAAAAGAATGGATTATTTTTTATATGGTGAGGTCCAAATTTTAGATGTTGTAAGAGTTGAGAGTTTTGGGGGCTGGGGAGATGGCTCAGTGGAATAAGCACTTCCCTGGCAAGCACAAGGGTCTGAGTTCAATCCCTGGTTCCGCCAAAAAAAAAAAAAGCTGAGAGTTTCGAAGTGTTTCATATCTGTGGATCTCTCTGGGAAACGTTTTCTTTCATCTTACTTATTTCTTCTTTGTGACACCTCACCCAAACAGGGAATGAAAGGGAGCTTCCTTGTGCTGTGACCTAATACTGAACCTAGAGAAATAGGAGCAAAAACTTATAGACTTTGGTCAAGCCGAATACAGTGGCACATGCCTGTAGTCCCAGCTCTTGTGGGGGGTGAGGTCGAGGACCAGTTGAGCTCAAGAGTGTAGGACAGCCTGGGAAACACAGTAAGGTCTGGTTTCAAAACAACAAAAACAGGCTGAGAAGATAGCTCAGTGGCATAAGCGCCTGTCTGGCAAGCACAAGGTCCAGAGTTTGATCCTTGGTACCGCAAAAAAAAAAAAAAAAAAAAAATTATTGATCAACCTTTCCCAGAAAGACCATTTTGCAGCATTTTCTGGATGACTTTGGCCACTTTAAGTTAAGCTCACACGGGCTGGCCAAATAGCTCAGTGGATTAAAGCACCTACCCAGGAGTTCGATCCCTGGGCCTACCCTGCCAGCCCTGCCCTCAAGGTGTGCTGAGACTGGGATTGAGACTGTGATGGCACACACCTAGAATCCCAGCACTTGGGAGGCTGTAAACAGAAGGATCACTATGAGTCTGATCTATGCAGTGAGACCCTGTAGACCCTGTCCTAAATACCAAAAAAAAAAAAACACTTTAAGCTCACAACAGGAGAAATGTATGTGGAGTAACCTGGAATTCCCTCATTGATTTCATAATTAATTGCTGGTGCTGGCTGCAGCTTTATGGAAATGATGAAGTCAGGTGAAGTGGCACACACCTACAATCCCAGTGCTGGGAGGTTGAGGCAGGAAACAATAAGTGTAGTGAGATGTTGTCTCAAAATAAAAATAAAAGGGCTAGGACTGTAGCTCAGTGCAATCCCCACTACTAGGAGGAGAAATTATGACGGAGGAGATCAGTGGTGGGTGATGGTGCACAAGGTCATGAGAAACAGATACTGAGTGACAGATGGCATCAGAGTACATCAGGACAGGATGAAGTAGACGAAAGCAGAGGATGTGAGAGGTATAAGTGACCATGTCGGAAAGGAAAATGTTGAGAGAGGCAAGCAGGCAACCCTAGAGAGCAGGTAAAAATGATAGTGTCTCACAGACTGAGTAAAACTTAAAGGCAGATCTGGAGCAGAAAACCCCAAGTGGAGCCTTTGCTGTTGGCTTGCGGGAAGCAGCGGTGGCTAAGAGCAGAGGAGGTCGGGGTGGTTGAGATCATGTGGATAGGGATGGTGGGTGCTAGTGTGGGTGGTACCCTCCTTGGCCCCCCACTGAGCCTCTACAAACCTGAGCCACTCTGTCACCCTCCTGTCTATGACACCTATCCCGTCTCCCTCCTACATGGCTTCCATTCCCCAATGTAGCAGTCCCTTGTCACCCGTTCTCATTAGTGACTACTAGCGGGGTCTGTTAAAGATTGTTACACAGGGGCAGATGCTGCCTTTTCTGCCTGTCACCTGCAGCAGCAATTAGCACAGGCCAACTTGCAGAGCCAGTGCCCAGAGATGACTGCACCAGATGGTGGACCCCGGTGTCCATGTGATGCAGGCTGTTTCCTGGGCCGTTCCTCTTCTTTGAAGCATAATCTTACTGATACTGGCTTTCAGAACCGAGAAGCTGGCACTGTCACTCCCACCCACACTGGGCCCATTTCTGTGTAGTTTCATGCTCCAGAATCATGACACCAGTGAGCTGGGCCCAGGACTGTTAGCCAGGGTCCTGAAATGGAGGAGTGGCTGGGGTCACTGAGTGGCGCTCACCCAGCACTGTTTTCCTGCACCAAAGCAGTATCTGAACCTGCTTGCCAACTGCAACCTGAGTGATTTGAATTCCTTTTGGTCTTCTTAGAGTTGCAGGACATGCTTGCTCTATGGAAATGTGTCCTCATCCTCCTACAGAGTGAAGAACAAGCTGTACGAGATGCAGCCACACAAGCCGTGACAATAGCACTGTCACAGGAAAACACCTACCAGTCAACAGGTACCTTGTTCTTATCCTTTGCAGTGTGTTATTGCTCTAAGACAGCAACTGGAAGACCTTTCTATGAATAACCAGGTGGTGAATGTCAGGTTTTGTGGCCAGTCAGTCTCTGTTCCAGCTCTGCCACTTTAGTGGGAGAGCAGCCATAAACAATAAGAGCCAGCTGCTTATGGTGGTGCTGGCCTGCAATCCCAGCTATGCAGAAGGCTAGGGCAGGAGGACCACAAGTTCCAGCTCAGCCTGGGCATTCTAAGAATGACCCTGCCTCAAAATAAAAAATAGAAAGGGCCGTAGATGCAGATCAGTAGTAGAACATCCCTGGGTTCAATCCCCAGTACTAAAAAAGAAGAAAGGCAAACAAATGGGCATAATGTGTTCCAGTAAAACTTTATTTACAAAAATAGAAGTCTTCCCAGATTTGATCTACTAGCCATAATTTGCTAGCAGACATCCTAGAGAAAGACTGTTTTCAAAAGCAGAAATTTAATAAGTGGTGTTTGGTCTTTTGTTAATTATATAGTCATCTGTTTTAAATAAGGCTAAGTCCTGATTCTCTGAGTGGGTTGCACAACCCAAGAATAACAGATCCATCATTTTGTTCCTGCATGAGTGTTTGCCTGTGACAGAAATGTGGCTGTGTCCAAGTTTGGTTTCTTTTCTTTGTGCCTTGGCTTTGTGTCTGATAAGGAACAGCAGTTGTAGGACTCAGATCCGCAGGATGAGCTGTTGCAGTTCTGGGCTGTGGGGCTGTCTTTCACGCCACAGAAGGGAACCTGGCTGAGAGTAGAGAATAGGCTGCTGAAGGAAAGGATAAGAAACAGGAGTTTCTTGACATAGGAGCACAATGGGCCCACTGTCCAGGGGCCGCCTGGAGAATAACAGTGTTGGTGGATGCCCCGTGCCTAGGCATGGATGCCCGAGAGGTGTGCAGGTTAGCCACCCAGGGAGAAGGAAGAGCACCGTGCTGAGGCAGGCTCACAGCAGACAGCCAGTGCAGGGAGAGGAAGCAGAGTCTGACTGAGAGTCTGCGTGGACCCAGCGTGCACTGGAGGAGCCCTGAGATGTGGGACCTTCCTGGTGTCCCAGCTCCCAGCTGTGAGGGTCTGTCAGCATTTAAGAAGCTAGTTTTCCACAATCTGTAGGTGACTGTGCTCCTGGACAAGTTTAGCCTCTCTGTGGGAAGTCATGTGAACAGTGCTCAAAGGGTGTGCGTGCCCCATTGTGCCCCCCTCAGCCCCTAACCAGACTGCTCTGGAGCCAAAATTGTGCTCTGTGTATTCCTTTTCTGATCGCTGTTTTTCCTCAGGAGACACTAGGAACTTCCAGCAAGTACTCAGTAGGTTGGTAGTGGAATATAATACTCGATAGATTTCTCCCAGGCTCTCCACCAAAGATGGGAAAAATGTCAGTAATTTCACAGCTGAATTTCTTCCCTTAGTCTTTAATATATAGCCTTTGCCCTACTACTTTTATTTCTGTCAGAGGTTTTCCAAGTTCATTTATAGTAAAAATGCATTACTATGTTTTCCCTTCTCTCTTTTTTTTTAAGAAATAAATATGAGTTGGGGCCAGGGAGATGGCTCAGTGGAATAAGCACTTCCTTGGCAAGGGCCTGAGTTCAATCCTCGGTTCCACCAAAAAAATAAATAAATAAATAAATAAATATGAGTTGCACATGGTGGCACAGGCCTGTGATCCCAGCACTCAGGTGGCTGAGGCAGGAGAATCACCAGGAGTTTGAGGCCAGCCTGGGTTATATAGTGAGTTTAAGGCCAGCCTACACTACACAGTGAGACCGTGTCTCAAAAAAAAAAAAAAAAAAAAAAAGGAAATAGCAATCAGTTATTCCAGCTAGAGTGCCGACTGCACGCAAAACTCCACTTGTGAAGCCACTAAAAGAATAAAAAATGTAAAACCCTGCGTATCTAGTCTTGTATTCCTCATCTTAGTCATAAAAAGGAGTTGAGACCTGAAAGGAGGAGAAATTCTCTGACAACTAGGTGCAGTGTAGTTGGACTAGATCCAGCGTTGGCAGAGGAAAGCGTGACAGGAAACTATCAGAACAACCAACGCCGTTGGAGTGGTGTCTGTAGCCTGCAACTGATAGGATGTTTCCTGTATTTGATAACTATTCTGGCTTCACAAGAGTCTGCTTTTTATTCATAGGAAGCAAACACTGAACTATTAAGAAATAAAGACACGTAACACCTGCAGCTCACTTTCTGTGATTCAAAAAAAATAAAAGTGTATGTGGTTCGAAATGTCAAACACAAGTAGAGTTGCTAATGTGCATCTGTTCCATATGCATGAAATTACTTATTAAATGTTTTTATATATTTTTTTAAAAATTTGGTACAGGGTCTCACTACATAGACTTGTAGTGATCGTCCTGTCTCAGCCTCCCCAGTGCTGGGATTACAGGCATGCAACACCACACCTGGCTTCAGTGCCCACATAGTGTACCCAGGTTCCAGAGCCGGCACAGCATGTGGTACCAGGGATCAAACCCAGGTCCTTGTGCTTGCCAGGCAGGTGCTTAGACTGCCTAGCTATTTCCCCAGCCCTATAAAATCTATTTTTACTAGAAAGGACTAATAAATATTCAATATCAATAAATATTAATAGACTGATTGGTTATAAGTAAATAAGCCTCAGGTGATTTCCTTCCCATAAATTATACTATCTTGCCCCTCCCTTTAAAAAAAAAAAAAAAAAAAAAAACATGCATTTTCAGTGACTGTACCGTGCAGGTCATGCTCAGGCCGGGTCCCCATCACCTTGAAGACAGTGGCGTGTCAGTGCACGGTGGCACTCATTCAGCTCCTCCCGGTGCCCTCTGCTCTGCCTCCCTGGGATTTCCAGACCCCCAAGGCACAGCCTGGTTTTCATCAACACAGAAAATAAATATTCCTGCTGCAGATGAAAAGGTGGCTGAGGGTTAAAAATCACCCCTGATGATTAGTGGGCTTAGCCAGCTGACGCTTCAGAGTATATCATCGTGTTGTAGCTTGTGGCCAAGCTGCAAAGCAGCTGCCTATAGTTTCCTGTTCCTTCTGTCTACAGGGATCACGCAAAATATGCTGTGGATGGCTTTGTCTTTTGTGTTTGGGTCACTTATCCCTGTTGGGTCTTATTTTTTTTTTTTTTTAATTTTTTTTTTTTTTAACATTTGTTTATTTATTGTGTGTGTGTGGCCAGCTCAGCCCTCCAGGGGGCGGGGCTGGCTGGCATGTGGTGCTGGGGGATCGAACCGTGGTCCCTGTGCTTTGCCAAGCTTGTTCCATGTAGGTGCTTTAGACCACTGAGCCATCTCGCCAGCCCACCTGTTGGGTCTTAGATGCCATAAAAATATATGGCATTATTTTGTTCCCTAAATCCATATTTTAATATTATAGTAAAATAATACTGTTATATTACTATTTAATGACTTATTTGAGAAGTCAAATTTGTAATAAAACATTAAAGTAAAAATTCTCACTTCTCCAGAATAAAACACCCACAGCCCTCCATGTCTCTTACATAGGACTATGGACTGGATGCAGACGAGAACCTCCCATAGCCTCCCAGGGGAACAAGGGGTACATTCTCACTGCGGGGTCTTAGGGGTCAGAGAGCAGAACTGCCCAGAGGCTGCAGCAAGTGGGCACCACAGGAGGCCAGGACACAGGAGGAGCTGGAGCCACGACCTGGAGGTGGGAGCACATGGGAGCCGCTGGGACAGCACTGAGTGGTCAGGTGCGATGGGAAGCCAGGTGAGGCTGGGCAATGGGGAGCAGGACATAAACCCAGAAGCGGAGTCACACTGAGTTCCAGGCCAGCAGCCAGACCTATAGCTGTGGGAAGCTGCAGACAGTTGAAATTTAAGAGTGCTGTTACAAGGCGTGTGGTGGAGGAACTCAGCATGCAGCATGGGCCAGTGCCAGGTGAGCAAGTGGAATCTTGGGGCAGGGACACCAACGGGAAGCTGTGGGAGCTGTCCTCAGGAGCCACGATCAGTGGAAAGGGACAGATCAGAGGAGACAGGGAGCTGCAACAGACTTGGGGAGCCCAGAAAAGGCAAGTGCAAGATGACTTCACGGCTGCACACTGAGAGGCATGTGCGGAAAGGTGTTGCCAGCCCTCTGACACTGATGTAGTCAAGCTTGGCCTTCCAGGAAATGATGCTACCAGGAAGCAGGGAAGGCACTCAGACCGTGAGGCATCGTGATCTGGGTCAGAGTATTCTTCAGGCTTTGCCTAGATCAGCAGTGGAAATTAGGGCAAAGGGGGAACTTGTTCTGTGGTAGGGACAGATGGGGTGTCCAGGTTGTGTCCTGCCCTCTCTGGAACACAGCCCAGCTAACTCACAGCCCCTCCACAGGCCTGCTCAGGGCTCAGAGCAAGCCTCAAGCCAGTGGTTCACACCGCATCCCCTTGGCTGCTGTTCCACATCCAGTTGGCTCCAAGGATGGCTTTGTAGATGAAATTGGTTAATAATTCTAAAAAACCTGGTGAAAATAGCTCCATAGCCCTCCTGGGGTGAGTATTGTTCACTTCTGTGCCTGTGACCTGGGTCACTGGAAGGTCACCAGAAACTCCTGGCTACACACAGGTCTCTGCAGCACCTGCAGCTCCCCCTGCCATTGCAACTAAGGACTAAGGGGAGGGAGCAGCCCCCTCCTCACACTACTGTGTGTCAGCCAAAGTAGACTACGGAGTCAGAGGAAATGGCCTTCCTAGGCTTTGAGAGTAAGGGAATGAAATCTGCAACTCAGAAGAGTATGTGGGCTAGAGTCCAGGAGGCATCTCACCTTTCTTCTCTCTCTCCTTAGATTTGAGTCCAAAACTTAAATAACACAGAAACTAGCTCTGGTCAAGGGCAGGAGATACTCGGCCTTCTCTACAGCTCTGTTCCAGCCCACCTGAGTACCTCACTTTTACCTGTTTTATGTGCCATGGTGACTTTAGTGTGATAGTGCATTTGAAAGAGGCCTCCATGTGGGCAGCAAATCACCTGGACA